CTTCCCCTCTTCTAATTAATGGTATTAATACGAGTATTATAATTTAAAGATTAATAATTAAAGACTCTACGTTTTCCACATACTTAATTAGTGTCAATTAAGGATCTCTAACTATTGAAGATTCTTAATTTATAAATATAAATTAGATATCCTCAAAACGAGTATTACAATCCTAGATTTCTCTGATAAATTCTGGAGCACTTATATCATTATATTAATCTAAATTATAAATTTAATAATAAACAATATTTTAGAAAATAATTTGCATGCTATGCTTTGGCTCTATACTTTAGTTGAACTAAACACAATTTTTTATATCTGACTCTCAGTTTTTAGAATCAAAAGTGATTAAAATAATTTAATATCATACAAGCTTTTATGTAATTTAAATATTTATTTAAAAATAGGCCAATAACGGTGGTGCTATATCAGTTAATGGTTTTGTTTCTAATCTTAATTATATATAAAACACTAAAATGATTGGAAATACTGCCATATCAGATGGAGGAGCTATGCTTTTAATAGCCTAAAAAGATGATGTAATAAATACTTTTTTTTTAATAATTAAAATTTTTAATCATACAATTAATAGATTTTTACTTTAACTTTGTCTAATTGCTAAATTACTGACAATCAATCTTTAAATGGAAGTGGTGGGGCATTATTTATTAGCTCCGAAAGTGAATCAACAGTACAGTAATAGATCAAAATTTAGAAAACAAATCTATCAAATAACAATGCAGTTATCGGAGGATGCATTAATAATCTAGGTATAAATCCAGTTATAGACTCTCAAAGCATTATATTGAATAACTAGGCTAGTCTTTATGGAGATAATATAAATTCGTATCCTGATCATTTAGGTTTGATCATGACTACAGATTTAAATAAATATTTCAATTAATCAACTAATTCTTTAATTTTATCAAATATTAAAAGTGGAACTTAAATCCCAGATATAATCTTTTAGCTAAAAGATTAAACAGCTATACCAATATTTCCATTAGATGCTGATAAAATAATAATTTAAGCATAGTTTAGCAGCAAAACAAAAAATATATCAAATTATTACATTAGAGGAAATTCTACCGCATTTGTTGATTTAAAATAGAAATAATTTGTTTTTTAAGGTATGTAATTAATAGGGATTCCAAATTCAAAAGCAATAATTGAGTTCAAATCTGATGTTATCAAAATTTTAAATAAACAAACTAATTAATTTGAGTCTAACTATTCTTATGAATTAGAAGTTTATTTTAGAAGTTGTAATTATGGTGAAATTGAGAATTTTTACAATACATATACAGAATGTGTTGTCTGTGAATAAGATAAATACTCTCTCGATAAACAATAATGTTATTCATGTCCTTCTGGAGCAAAATGCCAAAATGGAATTATATATGTAAATTAAGGATTCTGGAGAAAAGATGAAAGTAGTCCTCTTGTTATAGAATGTGCAAATAAGCCTTCAAACTGTATTGGAAGTACTTATGGTAATTAAGTATGCTTAGAAGGTTAAATAGGACCTCTATGTGAAGAATGTGATGTAAATACAATTTTTTAAATATTACTTTAACAATAAATTTAAAATTAATAAGATATATGGTAGCTACTGGGGAGAAAGCTATTCTAAAGTTGGATCTTATTAATGTGGGTAATGTAAAGAATTGAGTGCTTTATTGTGGAAAGCAATCTTAATAATAATCTGGACTTTATTTTCAATTCGACTTGCCATAAAAGGAGACTTAGAGGAATAAACAATAAATGCTTTTTAAGTAGCTCTGAAAAGACACTTATTAAAGAATAATCAAAGCACTTCCTTAAAAGGGACTAAATATTAATCTAAATTAAATGTCAAATATGATAACCAAAAAGATAAAAAATCTCGAAATGGAGAAAAAGCTAGTGTTTATATTAAAGTATTCATTAACTATTTACAAATAGTAGGATCAATTATTACTTTCAATATTAAATTAACTACAGGTAATAAAAATTAAAATTTTTTAATTTTAAAATTATTAATTTATTAAGATTATTTATTTATTTATTTAAAAAAACTAAATTTTTTAAGATGAAAATAATATTTTAAATTTTATCAAACAAACAAAAGATATATTTGATACTTCATAGTATTTAGGAACACCTGTAAGATAATAAATGAATTCTGCTGAATGTATATTAAAAGATATATAAACAGATATACCAATGATATATCTTAAATTACTATTTACTCTAATTGTTCCAATTGGCTATTTAATGGTGTTTGTAGTTAGCTTAATCTTATAAAGGGTATTTACAAATATAAAAGTTCGTTATTATTCTATTTGTACTGCTGCGATCTTTATATTTATTTTAGTTTAGCCTGATTTAGTTTCTCAAATGATAGGTCTTCTATCATGCAGGGTAATTGGAGATTCTAGTTACATACTCTATAATATAACTTATGAATGCAACACTAGCGAGCACTAGAGATATAGTTCTACCTTAGTAGCTCCTTGTTTATTAGTGTTTGCTTTTATTATACCAATAGGACTTTTTTATATACTATACAGAAATAAAGATGACTTGCAAAACATTTAAATATATAAGAAATATGGCTTTTTATACAGAGAGTATAAAAGCCAAAAATATTATTGGGAATTCGTGAAAATGTTAGAAAAAATTTTAATAATTATAGTTCTTAACTTCTATTCCCAAGATACTAATATTAAAGGAGTGCTAATTTTTATTGTGGTTTCTCTCTATGGGATAGCATCTAGTGTTTTATAACCCTATCGTTTGAGCGGATACAATACAGTTGATTTCTATCAAACAAACGTGTGTGCAGTTTCTGTATTACTTTGTTTATTCATTAGCAATAATCCCTTCAATTATTATGTAATGACTTCTATTATAATTATAATCACAATCAATGCTTGGTTTATTATTGTAATAATTAAAAGAGTTATTATAGGACTCTTAACATAATTTAAGAATGTTATCATTTCATTTTTTTAAAAATTTTCTTATACAAAGTTGCTTGTTCAAAAGTTTCAAAAATAAAAATTAAATCCATAATTGAAAGCTAAAATATAAAGAATTTTTAAAGAATTTTTAAATCTTAGTGAAGAGCAAAAGTATGATCTTTTATTATCTGGTATAAAGATATAAATAGGTATTAAAACTCTTGTTATTTGTTATATTTAATATATTTAATTTATAGGTAAAAATCATAAAAGACTGTTTAAAGATTAATAGATTAATTAAACTATTAAATAAAATAAACTAAATGACTTAGCTACTGAAAATTAACAAAAATTAAACTCAGAAAGAGATTACTTTCATAAAGATAGTATAAGTAGCCCAAATACTCTATATACCAGCAAGACGAACTAATCTCCTATTTTTTTATGTAATATTTTTATTTATTTTTTTTAATCATTAAATTTTTTAATTAAATATTAATTAGAATTAGAAGAATTAAATGTAGTAAAGAATTAAAAAGAGAGTTAAAAAGATAAAGAGGATAACTCTAATAAATTAATAAAATTAAAAAAAAAATACTTAGCTATTAGAAATTAACAAAAATTAAACTCTGAAAGCGATTACTTTGATAAAGATAATGAAAATAACCCAAATACTGTATATAGCAGCTAGACAAACTAATCTCCTCTTTTTAAATGTAATATATATAATAGTTTTTTTTTAATCATTAAATTTTTTAATTAAATATTAATTAGAAATCGAGGTGTTAAATTTAGGAAGGAATTAAAAAGAGAGTTAAAAAGATAATGAGGATAACTCTAATAAATTAATAAAATTAAAACAAATATACTTAGCTACTAAAAATTAACAAAAATTAAACTCTGAGAGCGATTACTATGATAAAGATAATGAAAATAACACAAATACTGTATATAACAGCTAGATAAACTAATCTCCTCTTTTTTAATGTAATATATATAATAGTTTTTTTTAATCATTAAATTTTTTAATCAAATATTAGGATTCGAAGAATTAAAAATGGCAATGGATTAGAAAGAGAGTTAAATAGATAAAGAGGATAACTCTAATGAATAAATAAAATTAAATTCTGTTAAAAAGGTGGATAAAAATAATAATTTAATTTATTTTACTGAATATGAAATAGATAACACTTTAAATATCTGAAAATTATTATTATATATTAATAATACATATTATTTTTTTGTTTTTAACTAAAAAGATTAATCAATCAATTTTAAAGTTCATTTTTCCCTATTAATAATATACTGTAATTCCTCGTTAACATGATCCGTCCGACTTCCAAAAAACCACTAAAATTAAGCGTTTTGTTTTTGAAGTGAAAATTTCAAATCTAAAAGTTTAATAATTATCTAAAAATTAGATTACTAAGAAATATATTCTGAATTATTATTAAATCATATTACTTTTTAATGTTATTTTGATTTATCACTTTAAATAGTATCTAAAAATTTAATATCAGCTTATTTATACTTCCTTTCTGGAATTCTTTTAAGGTTTATTGAATGAGCAAGCATTTTATTAAGCATTTAAGTTATGGAAAAGTTTTAAAATATAATCATGTTTAAATAATATAAGCAATATTATTTTAAAATATAATAACCCTAAAAATTATTAATCAAAGAAAATTATAAAAAATTTAAAATTATTCGACAGATTAATTGAAAAATAAAATAATAACTAAATTAAAAAAATATTTATTAAATTTTCAAGTATTAATAATTATTTTTATATCAATTATTAATTTAAAATATAAAATATTTTTTATCACTAAAATGTCCACAGCAATTTTAATAACTAGATTTGTGTTCAGTATAATAATTTAATTTTTGATCTACGAATGAAATCAATAATACTTTTAAAACACACTTAAAAAGAAAATTAGTGTAATCTATAAATAAATTATATAAAAATTTGAAATTTACAAGCTTAAGATTATAATCAAATATATGTAAACAAAAATTAATTAATAATCAATTTTTTTACAAATAAATAAAATGAGAAGATTAGGTGTAACAAAAAAGTAAAGCTTCAATGTGAATGACTAATTGCGTGATTTTAAAGAAATTAAAGATAAAGATAAAGATGATTTGAATAATCTTTCGTTTTCATTTGATAAATCTAACCATGAAAATATTTTACCAGGATTGAAGAACACTAATAAAAGCATATCTGAAATCCAAAAAAATGAGGAGTAATCTCTATATATATCTAAAAATTAATTGATACACAGAGATGAATAGAGTTTTAGGATGAAAATATAAAATAATGCTTAAAGCTAATTGGATCAATCTCAATTAACTTTTTCATAAAATGCTATATAACTTCCTGATAACTCAAGCATTTTAATTTCTGAATAGAAATTAAATAAAAGACAAAACTCTAATATTTTAGAGAGGTCTATTTATGAATAAAAGAAGAAAAGTATGTTAGCTTAAATTATTTAGTTGCCTTAAACACCTTAAAAAAGTGGTTTTTCAAACAATAAATATTAATATTCAAAGCAAGCTAGTAGTAATATAGACAAAACAAGTAATGAAAAAATCGAAACTAAAAATTTATTCTTTTTTAAAAAGACCAATATGGTAAAAAAATTTATCAATAGTATGCTACAATATGCATAAAGTTACAACTTCAAAAACTTAACTCAAAAGTAATTTGAAATATTAAATGATTAAAGCTCAGATTACCATTATTATTAGCAGAGAGGTCTTATCCAAAAAAAGGTATGATTATTAATTATATTTTGAATAATTAATTTTTATACAAAATAGAAACTTAACATAATTTATGTTTATAAAAATATAGGAACAAAGTATTTCTACTCATTACTTTACATAATTTTCCTCGTGTAAAATCAAATCTTTATTTTAGCAGTAATTTTACCAGTTTTTTGTGTTAAAAATAGTGTTGAGAAACTATCTTGTTAAAAGCGAAAAGCTCATTCTTTCTCCTGTATTTTTTATATAACTTTTTTTATTTCATCATATAAATAAAATCCTTTATACTTGAAAAATGAATGTCTTAAAAATATTTTTTTGTTTGTTATAATATAGGATTCAATGTTTTTTATCATTTGGGATATTCTAACAATGATTTTATGGATATTTATTGTGTTTTATGTACCTTTTAGAGTCAATTTTTAGTTGGCTGAGGAAATTGAACTGCATGAAACCTTTTCTTATTTTTAAATATTAATATTCTGTTTTTTGGTAGCAGAAACAACTATAAGCTTGAATAAAGTATAAAATTATTAAAATAATTGATTATGGCGTTTATTTCTAACTTATTTTTAATATAAGGCTGTGTTTAAAAGAGGTAGAATAATTGTAAGCAGGGAATATATACTTCGCAGATACATGAAGAAAGAATTTTTGTAAATAATTAGAATTAATTTATTAGCTCAATGTTTCATATACTTAACCAAATTTTAAAATAATAGATTTGACTTTTTTATTTTCTTATCTTATTTTCTGTCCACACATTTTTACGATCTACGATATTTAGAATATGTTCTAGAGCTGAGAATATTCAGAGTCATTCAAACTTATAAGCAGCTATTTCAGAAATTTGATTAAGAATCAAAATACAATATTTTTAGAAGGATATCTTTATTAGCTTTGGTAGTTCTTACATTTATTAATACACAAGGATCTATTTTCGTGTTATTAGGTTTTTAAGAAAAATAATAATAATAGTAAATGAAGTTTAAAATAGACAACGATTCTGATTTTTCTAGATATGTAGCTGCGATTTACTGGTCTACTATTACTATGACAACAATTGGATATGGCGATATTGTTCCAATCACAAATCTTGAAAGGATTTATGTTTCTATAGTTAGTCTGATATCTTGCGGAATATTTGGATATTCGATTAGTCAAATATAAGAAATAGTAGGGGAAATTTAAAGAAAATCTGAAACCTTTAATAAAAAAATGCAAGTAATTCTTTAATTAATATTTTACTTGCCAAAAATTTTGAGATTATTAATTTATTTAAAGGCATTAAATAAAATAATGAATTCAAGGTAACTGAATAAAAAAATAATGTATCAAGTAATTAAATACTATGAGTACTTACACAAAGAATCTGATAGCAACTTAGAACAAGAAGGGCTCACAATGATAGAAAATTTACCTAAATCAATGAGAGATAGCATAAAATTTGAAATGAATCACAAATACTTATATTCTTAAAAGATATTTTCTTTAAATTTCACCAAGCCTTTTCTAAATGAGCTCTCTATGAAAATTAAGTAATTAAAAATTGGTCCAGAAACGGATTTATATTAATTAGGTGAATTTGATAAGCGACTCTTCTTTGTGTAAAAAGGTTCTATTATGCTATATATTAAATAAAGTAATAGTCAAAAGGAGTATTCAATTTTGAGCGTAAATATTTAATTTTGTAGTTGATTGTTTATTAGTTATTTAAATAATATTACTTTGTATTTTCACTGACAAAAATTAAATAAGAAAAGCTAAAATGGTGTTTTAATTTTATAAATTGAATTTTTACTGACTCTAAATTAAAACTAATATAATATTTAACAAAAAAGAAATATTTAATTTAAATTTCAATACTTTTAAAAACTTAATTATCCTTTTATTCAAAAATATTCTTATATTACTACTTTTTCCTTCCTAAATTTATTTCTTTATGAATTCAAATTATTTTTTATTTTTAGAAAGGTAGCATGTTTGGAGAATTAGAATTCTTTAATTAAAGCAGTAGAATGTTCGGAGCCAAATCTTAGAGCGTTGTATAGCTTTTATTTTTGGATTTTGAGGACTTTTATTAAATACTATAATAGTATGAAAAAGATTTTGTAATTAATTATTTTTTTAAAATATTTTAAAGGTTATTAATTTATTTTAAAAATAGATTTTTAAGAAAAAATATTTTATTTTATTTTTAAATGGTATTTTATTAAAAAATAGGAGAGCTATAATTTGATCAAAGATCAATTAAGAATAAATCAAAATTATAAATTTTTAAACAAAAAATGTGAAAGTTGTGGAAAATATAATCATCATTTTTACAATTGTAATTAATTACAATATATTCCAAATATTTAAAAGATACTTTACAAGTAAAACCTCGAAATTAAATAAGAAAGATAATAAAATTTCAAAAGGCATAGGCAAAAAAGTTCAAATACTTTTTAATTTTACATTAACTCAGGATCAGAAATAGAAAAAATGCTAAAAAATAGTTATTAAAGTGAACAAATTTGTTTAGAGGATGAATCACTTTTTTATCATGAAGATAATGAAGAAAAAGAGTAAGCTTACTATTTGAATTTAATAGTTTATTTATAATTAAATATTATTATAGATTCGATTAAATTAATTCTCAGACAAATTTAAGGGAAAAATAAAAATCATTTTAGAATGAAAGTGTATACAGCAAGTCATCCTCTCTAAATAAACGATAGAGAGTTAATTCTATTAAAAAAGAAGCTTCTAAAGGGATTAAAAACACAGAACTATAACCTTAAGTTTTTCTCTCCTAAAATTAAGAAGAAATAAAAGCTAAAAATTCTATAAAATTAAGCTTATTATAGTAAGAAAGTATTATCAAAAATTAATAAAATTACTAAGTTGTTTAAAGTTAAATAGAATGTGTTGATTCTTATCATAGTTAGTTAAAAATAGAAAATGCACCTTATTGTAGTAGAGAAGACTCTCTTGACTAAGACATTTGGAGTGCTAAAAGGAATAAATTTTCAAGATTTTAAACAGAACTTCAAATCCTTTCATCAGAAATATAAACTTAAAGCTTAGATAAATAGTTAATTTTTTTGTTTTAGCACTTTGATCGATTAAAGAATTATTAAATTTATTTTCCTCATAACAATTTGAGAAATGTATTAATTGAATATAGAAAAGCATAAGTTAAAATTATAAAGAAAAGAGTATTTAAAAATAATAGAGCATCAAATATCAATTAAACTAAGCTAAAAAAAGATAAATCTAAAAATTTATATAGCCCTTTACTTGAGCAATCATTAATAAGTATCTCTTGACCAAAAATAAACTTTATTTTAAATAAATCAATATAATTGCATTATTTATTATGATTTTCCTTTTTAGTATTACAAGCTTAAACAACATATTATTTCAATTATTTTAATACATATAAATTTAATGTTTGTTAACATTTCTTTGAAATATCTTAAAATTATTTATTTTTAAAAAGCTATTTGAATTCAAAAATATAAAGTATTGCTAATCTAGGTATTGAAAAATTGAATGCTAAGTAGCCTTCTTGCTTTTTTTATTTTGGTTTGTCAGAATTTATCTGACAGATCTACCTGTGATTTTATTAAAAAGAAAGGCCTTTTAATTTTTTATGATAAACTAATTTTTTTGCTGTATATATAAAAAAATGGCTTCAAAATATTTCATAAAATTTAATATGAAAATAATACTTTTTCTATTTTTCTTGATTATTTATTATCAATCAAATATAATTTTACTTAATTTGGAAAAATTCTATTCTAAAAAAAAGGATGAAAGAATAATGAAGTTTTACTTTATATTTTAAATCTACTACAACCTAAAAAGTTATTGAATTAATTTTATTAATAAATTTTAAAAATATAGATTTGATGATTAGATTATGTATTTATTAATTATATCCTATTTATTTATATTGTAAAAGATTATTAAATTTTCAAAATCAAACCATTCAACTTTCATTAATGTTTTATAAACACGTAAAAATTAATTCATCAGATTTTTATTTAATGTGATGACTTTTATAAATTATTTTGATTGTAACTATTTAATATTTGATGGTTGGAAAATTCTTATGAAATTTACAGAATGAGCCACTAATAATTAAGAATTAAAGTTATGGAGAAGATTTTAAAAAGTAATTAATTTTAAATTAATTAAAAGATGTAAAGATTGATTTGAATAATCTATGATGATTTATCAAAGAAAATCCTAAAAAAAATAAAAATCGTTCTACTGATTTAATAAATTAATGAAATGATAATTTAGTTATTATTACTTTTTACACTGATAAAAAAATTAATGTAATCTTTATGCTAAATTATGTAAAAAATTAAAAAATACAATTTTTTAATAAAAATCTAAAATCAAAAAATTTTAATTAATTTATAATCAAAATTTTTACAAATTAAGTAAAATGAGAAGATTAGGTGTAACAAAAAAAGAAAGCTCCTCTCTGAATGACTAAATGCGTGATTTTAAAGAGATTAAAGATAAAGATAAAGATGATTTGAATAATCTTTCGTTTTCATTTGATAAATCAAACCATGAAAATACTTTACCAGGATTGAAAAACACCTACAAAAGTAAATCTGATGTCGAAAAAAATGAAGAGTCTCTAAATATCTCTAAAAACTAGTTGATACCAATAGATGAATAGAGCTTTAGGATGTGTATATAAAATAATGCTTAAAGCTAACTGAATCAATATCAATTATCTTTTTCATAAAATACCATATAGCTTCCCAAAAACACAAGTATTTAACTTTGTGAATAAAAATTAAATAAAAGACAAAACTGTAATGTTTTAGAGGGGTCTTTATATGATAAAAAGAAGAAAAGTATTTTAGCTTAAACTATTTAGCTGCCCTAAACTCCTTAAAAAAATAGTTTTTCAAGCAAAATAGATTAGCATTAAAAGCAAAAGCAAATTAGAAGTTCCATAGATAAAAGAAGCCACGAAATAATTGAAACAACAAATTTCTTCTTTTTTAAAAAGACCAATATGGTAAAAAAATTTATCAACAATATGTTGCAGTACACATAAAGTTATAACTTCAAAAACTTAACCCAAAAGTAGTTTGAAATATTAAACGATTAAAGCTCAGATTATCACTATTATCAGTAAAGAAGCCTTATCCATAAAAAGGTAGGATTATTAATGATTATATTTTGAATAAATAGTTAAACAACAATATAAAAACTAATTATAATTTATATCTATTTAAACATAGGAACATAGTATTTCTACTCATTACTTGACAAAATTTTCCTAATGTAAAAATTCAATTTTTATCTCATCAATAATTTTACTGATTTTTATGTTTAAAATAGTGTTGAGGCATTACCTTATTGCAAGCGAAAATCTTATCCTTTCTCCTGTAATTGTTTTCTTGTAAAATAAACCAATTAAAAAGTTTTTTGGTAAAAATAATTTAGGACTCAATGTTTTTTATTGTTTGGGATATACTAACAATGATTTTTTGGATAGCTATAGTGTTTTATGTACCTTTTAGAGTAAATTTTGAGTTGGAAGAAGAATTAAAAATACACGGAACCTTTTCTTATTTTAAAATCCTAATGTTTTGCTTTTTTATTACAGAAACAATTTTAAATTTGAATAAAGTAGAAACATTATTTAATCTTGTTTATTTCTAACTTATTTTTAATTTTAGGCTGCGTTTAAAAGAGGTAGAATAATCATAAGCAGGGAATATATACTTAATAGATACTTGAAGAAAGAATTTATGTAAATAATTGCAGTTAATTTGTTTAAATCTGTGTTATAAATATTTTACTCAACTTTAAAATAATAGATTGGACTTTTTTATTTTCTTGTCTTATTTTCTGTCCACTTATTTCTACGATTTGCGATATTTAGAGTATTTTTTAGAGCTGAGAATATTCAGAGTCATTAAAACTTATAAGCAATTATTTCAGAAATTTGATTAGGAATCAAAACACAATATATTTAGAAGAATATCATTATTAGTTTTGATAGTTCTAACATTTATTAACATACAAGGATCCATTTTCATTTTATTGGGATTTTAAGATCAAAAATAATTATAAATGAAGCTGAAAATAGACAACGGTACAGCTTTATCTAGGTATGTAGCTGCAATTTACTGGTCTACTATCACAATGACAACAATTGGATATGGTGATATTGTACCAATCACTGATCTAGAAAGGATTTACGTCTCTATTGTTACACTTATATCTTGTGGCATATTTGGTTATTCCATAAGTTAAATATAAGAAATAGTAGGGGAAATTTAAAGAAAATCTGAAACCTTTAATAAAAAAATGCTAGTAAACCTTTAATTAATATTTTACTTTACACAAATTTTGAGATCATTTATTTATTTGAAGGCACTAAATAAGCTAATGAATTCAAGGTAACTGAATAAAAAGATAATGTATCAAGTTATTAAATACTACGAGTACCTATACAAAGAATCCGATGGCAACCTTGAAGAAGAAGGACTCAATATGATAGAGAATTTACCTGTATCAATGAGAGATAGCATTAAATTTGAAATGAATCACAAATACTTGTATTCTCAAAAGATATTTTCATTAAATTTTACAAAACCTTTTCTAAATGAGCTCTCTATGAAGATTAAGTAATTAAAAATTGGTCCAGAAACCGATTTATATTAACTAGGTGAATTTGATAAGAGACTCTTCTTTGTGTAAAAAGGTTCAATTGCACTGTATATTAAACAAAGTCATAACTAAAAGGAGTATTCAATTTTAAATGTAAAAATTTTTTTATTATTTTAATTGTTTATTTGACATTTATTACCATCACTGTTATAATTTTTATCTATTAAGTTTAAATTTATTTTTTTTTAGAAACAAATTTCTATTCATTATTGACTTTTATCTAAATTACAAATTTTTTTATATTATTTATAGTAAATATATTTATTTTAGCTGTTTACTCATTTTTGAATTACGAAATATGAATTAGCTGTCTTGCTAACTCATGTTATCAATACTGAAAACGATTTTTAACCTTTAAATAAAATAATCAAAATAACTTACTCAAAGAATAATTATATAAATAAATTAATAAATAAATAGATATATAAAGAATTCTTAATTTAGCTTTACCTCCCAAAAAAAAATTTATTAACTTATTTATATTTTATTATTAGAAGGGAAGCATGTTTGGAGAAATAGAATTCTTTAGTCAGAGCGGAAGAATGTTTGGAGCAAAGTCATAAGGGGTTGTATCTCTTTTATATTTAGAGTTTGAAGACTTCTATTAAATACTTTAGTAGCACTAAAAAGACTTTGTAAATAGTTTGATTGATTTGATAAATTAATTTAAATTAATCATTAAAATAAATCATTTTTTTAAAAAAACATGATCAATTTATAAATTTTGACAAAAATAAAAAAATTATAAATTTATTTGTTTTAAAAATCAATTTTAATAAAAAATATTTTATTTTTAGACAATATATTATTAAAAAAATAGGAGAGCTATAGTTTGATCAAAGATCAATTAAGAATGAATCAAAATTATTAATTTTTAAACAAATAATGTGAAAGCTGTGGAAAATATAATCATCTTTTTTATAATTGCAATTAATTATAATATATGCCAAATATTTAAAAGATATTTTATAAACAGAATCTTTAAGTTTTTTAGGAACGATATAAAGTCTTCAAAAGGAAAAAACAAAGAAGCTAAAATGCTTTTTAATCTTAAATAAGCTCAGGATTAAAAATAAAAAAAATGCTCATCGAAAAATTTTAAAATGGATAAATTTGTTTAGATGATTCTTCTATTTTTCTTTCTGAATAGAGCGAAGAAAAGGAGTAAGCTTATTGTGTGAATTTAATAATATTTTTTTAATTTAAAAATTAATTTAAAATAGATTGTAAAAAGTAAATTCAGCTACAATTGTAAGGGAAAAGTAAAAATCTTTTCAGAATGAAATTGTTTTATGTGAATAACCCTCTCTAAATAAACGATAGAAATCTAATTCATTTAAAAGAGAAGTTTCGAAAGGGAATAAAAATGTAGACTTTTAGCATTAAGTAATTCTTAGCTAATATTAAGAAGAAATGAAACCAATAAGCTAGATTAAATTAAGCTTATTATAGTAAGAAAATATTATCAATAACTAATAAAATCACTAAGTTGCTTAAAGTAAAATAGAAAGTGTTGAAGTTAATCATAATTAATTAAAAATAGAAAACTCACTTCATTAAAGTAGAGATGAATCTATTAACTAAGAAATTTAGAGTATAAATAAGAATAAATTTTCAAGACTTTAGAATGAATTTCATATCCTTCCATCAGATATTTAAGATTAAAGCTATGATAAATATATTAATTTATTGTTTTACCACTTTGATATATTTAAGAATTATTCAATTTACTTCCCTCATAACAATTTGAGATATGTATTATTCGAATATAGAAAAGAACAACTTAAAATTATTAAAAAAAAAGTAGTTAAAAATAATAAATCACAAATCACCAATAAAACTAAGATAAAAAAAGATAAAAATTAAAGTTAACCTACTCCTTAATTTGATTAATCTTTAATAAGTAAAAATTGATCAAAAATAAGCTTTTTATGTTTTTAAATAAATATATCAAATAAAGTCTATATTGTTTGACATATATTTAGTATACTATTAACATATATTAAATAAAATTAATTAACATCAAATCTTTTTCTGCAATTATCAATACTGTAAGTTTTTAAATTTTATGAGTTATAATTTTTAGAAGAAACAATAAAATCAATTGAACCAAAAAAATATTAGATATACTTGTGTTTTTTTAAAAAAGGAAAAACTCTCCTCAAATATTTTCAAATTAAAAAAATGAATTGTAAAATAAAGAGGAATAATTTTACTTCAATATGTTAAAAAAAGATATTTTAATCAAATAAGAAAATTGTTCTTTATTCAACTTTTTCTTCATATGTTGAAAGATTAATCCAGCCCCATTTAAGAAAAATATAATAATTTTTTAATTTATAATGAATTGATATTATTTAAGCATCTTATTACTCAGACAATTATTTTAAAATTACCTATATCAAAATTAAATATTTATAAATGCTATTCTTTTATAAATAAATAATAAATATAATATGAGAATAAAAATAAAATATTCTTTAATTACAGTATGATCAATTTAAAAAAAAGGTTTGTCTAAATAATATATTTTTGTAAAAAAGACAAAAATTTATTTTGCATTTCATATTTAAAAATACAGCTTTGATAAAAATGTATGAACAATATTACTTTGCAATTATACTTATTATATTAATCATGTATTTGGATTGATAAGGGTTTCTAATAATCTTACAAAAAAATTGTAATTATTAAGAGATTTATCAAATATCAAATAATTTTTTAATATCATCATTATTTTTTATCAAAAGCATTAAAAAAGTGCTATTATCATTTCTTAATTAATTAGTTTTATTTATACGATGAGTGTAAAAAAGGGAGTTGATTTAAGAAGAGATCTTCTTAAATAGAATGATATGAAAAATTTTAGCGAGTAAAAGTTGGCTGAAAATGATGTTAATATTTCTTTTTCAGCTGATATTAAGGCAACAACTTTTTAAGTTGATGAAAATTATTCTAAATAAATTGAAAACGAACTTGATGGTAGCAAAAATATATTTTTTCAGCTTGATGGAAACTAAAATTTTAACGAATAGCCTTCAAGTAGGTCTTTTGCTGTAAAAAAATAAATTATGTTCAAGAGCAGTTCAGTTAGGATAGATGAATTAGGAGGAGAAAAGCTTGATTCAGACTCTATTGCTTAGAACAAATAAAATAATACAATAGTAAGTCTTAAGGATGGAACTTCTACTTCTATTAAAAATAAAAACATACCTTCAAAAGAGAATATTTAAAGCTAATAGATTAGGTTAAGTAATTTAGCAAATACAATAAATGAATTTAAGAAAAAGAAGCGAATGTTTCAAAGCAAATCATTTTTAGACAAGCCTTCTGAAATAGAGTAAGAAAATGAAAAACTTGAACAAAGCCAAAATCAATAAGAAAAGCAAAGGCCTCTTAATTTTTTATTCTTTAAATAGACAAACATAATCAAACGATTTATTTCAAATTTGCAATCCAAAGCAAGGTCATTTATTTTCAAAAGATTGTCCTAGCACCAATTTAATTTAATAGGTGATAAGAGCTCTGACTACATCTCCTACCAAGAGATGAATCTCATCATCAAGCATGTAATAATTGAATCTATCAATCAGCATTTTGCAAAATTATTATTATTTAAACTTAAAAATGCAAATAAAAACATCCTTATTTTTGACAAAAACAGGAATAAAAGTAGATGAAAAAGTTCGATTTACTGAAAATCTGTAATTTTAATTGACATTTTTCTTGACTCTAACAAAGTTTTTAATATAAAAAAGTATTACGCATATATTTAGATAAATCTGAAAAACTAGTAATATCGCCAGTAATATATTATTTAATTATGAGTAAATTATTATCAATCGCAAAGTTAATTGCTTGCTTCTACTAAAATAATTAATGTATAAACTTGATTTAACAAAAACAAAATGAATCAACTCAAGAAATAAAAATTTTTGCAAACAAATTTATCATACTAAATAACAAATAAAGTTAATTAAATAATTTTAATTTTGTTACCATAACTAAACATTCAATAAAAAAATATTTTGTCTAAAATGTTATTGATTTTAATTTGTTTAATTAATTAATTATCAAGGACTCAATGTTTTGCTTAATTTGGGATATAATTAATGTATTAATATGGATTTCTATAATATTTTATGTTCCTTTCAGAGTTAACTTTGGACATGAAACAAAACATGAATCAGCTTTTTCATCATATGTAATTCTATTTTTTATAGCTGAAACTTTGATCAACTTTAATAAAGTACTAAATTTTTAGTTATCCAGTTATTTTTTATCAAATTTTATATTTTAAATTTAGGCGTCATTTAAAAGAGGCAGAATTATCACATCTCGTGAGTTTATAATAAGAAAATACTTCAAAAAAGAATGTGTGTAATAGTTTATTTTAATTAAATAGACTACTTTAAATTATTATAAATCCTTTATAAATATTTTAGATTTGATTTCTTCATTTTAGTTTGCTACATCATATCAATATAAAATATTCGATTAATATATTTCGAGTATGCACTTGAACTTAGACTTTTAAGAGTACTTAAAACATACAAAGAACTCTTTTAAAAACTTGACCAAGAAGCTAAACATACTATTTTTTATAGGATATCTTAGCTAATTTTAATTATTCTATGCTTTATTAATCTCCAAGGATCAATATTTGTACTGTTGGGAATCTCTGAAGGTATCGATCCAATAAAGTATTAACCAGATCTGAATATCAACTTTTAAAGATATGTTGCTGGCCTATACTGGTCTACTATAACTATGACTACGATCGGATATGGTGATATAATTCCTAATTCAACAACTGAAAGGATATATGTATCTTTTGTTAGTTTAATTTCATGTGGAATCTTTGGCTATTCTATAAGCTAAATAGGAGGAATTGTTATGGAAATGTAAAACAAGTCAGATCTTTTCAATAAAAAAATGAAAGTAGTTTTACTTATTTTCTATTTTTATAAATAAATAATTAATATTGTCCATTTCATAATTTCCACCCCCCTTTTCATTAGAATAAAAGAAATAAATGAGTTTTATTTCAACTTTTAATTTAAAGGGGGTGGATATTATGGCATTGATGGTTTAATAATTTAAATTAAAAAATATTTAGGCATTAAATAAATTGATGGTATAAAGGTAGATGAGCAAAAATATTATGCAATAAGTTATAAGATACTATGAATACTTACATAAATCAGAAGAGAATAATTTTGAAGACTAAGGTCTTTAAATGATTGAAAAACTTCCGAAATCAATGAGAGAAAATATTACTTAGGAAATGTATAGCAAGTTAATTAATTCCCACAAGGTTTTCTCTCTAAACTTTTCTAAGTAATTTTTAGATAAATTATCAATAAAAATAAAATCCATGAAACTGGGACCTGAAACCAATCTCTATAGATAAGACGAATTAGACTAAAAAATTTATTTTATTAGTAAAGGATCAATGATGCTTTATTTTCAACAAAATTAAGTCGAAAGAGAATGCAAGATCTTAACAGTATAAACGATATTTTTTCTTTTTTGATGTCATTTTTATTTTACAAAAAAGAAAGGAGATATGATTGGTGAAATAGAGTTTTTTGGACAAACATCAAGAAAATTTGGAGTTAAATCCTAAACTGAAGTTTAGTTACTTTTCATAGAATTCGAAGATTTTTATCAAACTCTTTAGCTCTTTGAAAAAGATTTTGTAATTTTTTTATTTAAATTAAATAAAGAATAATTAGAGTTATTTTTAAATCTTTAGGAAAGCTACAGTCAAATTAAAGATAAATTTAATTTAGAAGGTAATTTAAAATCTTTAAGTAGGGAGTGCGAAAGTTGTGGAAAATTTAATCACTTATTTTTCGATTGCTTTTCTTTAAAATATTTTCCAAATCTAATCCATATCAAGCATAATTTAAATGTATCTTAAGAAAGGCTTAAAGAATTCTCTCGGAAAAACAAAAAAACTGTCAATGCCTTGCATAATATCAATAAATCAGGAATTCAATATATTGATTAAATTACTCATACTGAAAACTAAATAGATGAAAAACTACTTAATAGCTATGATTCGCTTACACAAGGTAATACTTAAAATAATGAAAATGACTAGATACACTCTCCTTCAATTAAAAATCATGCGATTAAGTAATATTTAAATTATTTTGTTTAACAATTTTTTGTTTATCAATTAAAAAATTAATTTAAATTCTTTTTTTATTTTTACAAATATAAATTTATTGTTAAAAATACATTTTATCTTTTAAACATTTTTTCCAAAATAACAATTTTTATTATGAAAAACAATAAATTATTCTAATAAATTAATAGTGATTCTTGTGAGAATTTAAGAGAAAAATAAAAATCAATATCTAAATCAAATTCTTCAGTTTACAGATCAAAATAAAATTTAATGATATCTATTCAAAAAGGTATTATAGATTAGTATATAACATAAAAACTTGAATCAAGAACTATTGAAAGTAACAGAATGATAAATAATGATCTGGAGAGAGGTAAAACAAATATAGAAAGCAACACCTCTCCTGAATAAATAATCAAAAGTTTGTACCCGTCTGCATAACGAATAAAATTTTAAACATAAACTCTTAATGAAATAGCAAGTCCAACACAGTTTGGTCTAGACAAAGACCAGAAACAAGATTAAAGATCGAGTTCATATGTGAATGCTTCTAATTATTTTTGGGATATTGAATTTGAAAAATCAAAAATATATTCAATATATTTTCCTCATAACAACTAAGAATAAGTACTACAAGAATACAAAAAATATTAACTTAAGATTTAAAGTAAAAACAAGAAAAAAAAATATAAAACAAAGACTCCTTCTAGAAAGAAAACTCCTAAAGCAAGGGCTTCCAAATTAAATAATAAACAAACAAGTTTTGAGAAATTACTAGTATGAAATATTCAAAGCTGAATTCTATTTAATCCTTCAAATATTAAATTAAATTAATCTTTTGAACTATTTAATACAATTAAAATTCAACTAATTTTAAAATAGCTCCTTTTTAATTGGAATATTTAAATATCTTTTGGTGTATTTATTTTATTTTTACTAAAAATTTGTTTTTATTTAAAAACCTAATTCAATTTTTAAAAACTTTAATACCATAAATCCTCATTAATTCTCAAACCCCCCACTACCAAAAATCTCATACACCTAAACCAATATATAGCTAATAATTTTTTGATATGTTGTAAATTTTTGAAAAAATAACAAATAAATTACATTTTAATATTTAAATAAAGATTTTATTTAATTTTTATTTAAAAATGCTAATATTTTTATATATGAAGTTAAGTATTTTTATAAAACAAATCTAAATATTTTGAAATTATAAAGGATGTAATATTAGTTTAGTATTTTAAATTACCTATTTAATAATACAGATAGTACTTAGGATCAGGAGTATTTTTGGTAATATAAAACTAATTATTATTTACAGTACTTGTCACTTAAAATTAGTTAATTAATTTAAATTTTCAAAAATCTTTTAAGTATTATTTAATTCATATTTTCTAAATTAGCTTGTTTCTATTGTACAATAGAACTTAGATATTTAAATAATATTGCTAAAAACTTTGTTGATTTGTTAAATTAAAGTTAAAAAGAGATAAAAAAATATTTTTCAAAAGCAATTGAATGAGTTCTTTTTGTTTTAGAAATGTTTATTTATTTAATAAAATGACTAATTTTAATAATTTACAAAATGAAAAAATATCATGTTCAAATAATTCAAAACATAGAAGTTGTCTATTCTTATTAGATATTTCTTATACATATTTATATTATTTAGGTATGACAAAATGAAATACATAAAATATAAAGCTGAGTTTATGAATATCATCTTTTGTTTGATAAGAAAATTATGAATATTAGGTTTACTTTAATTTCGGTAGAATTAGTATTGTAGAGATTTATACAATTTTTAGCATTTACAATGCATCTTTATAGTATTGAAGGTTGAATAATTAGTTTTAATTCAAAATCATTAAAAAATTTTTACACTTATTTAATAGCAAAAATTCGTTTGAATTAAAAAGATAAAGCTTTTCTATCTATTTTCATGAGTATCTATTATCTTTAAGATTAGTTAAGCGAAAGGAAGAACTTAGATAGTAATTCATTTTCAACAAATTAGAATTACAATGAAGCAAATAGTTAATTTAATAATTCTTTAAGAGATGGAGGATTAAAGCGTCGACATTTGCTGGACTTGAATCCAATGGAAGAGATAAATAATAGATGTGATGATTATAGTGATATAAATAGATCTTAAACAATAGAAAATGTTCTAGCAGCAAGTTTTATTAATAGCAATAACGTGAATAACAACTCTCATATAAATATAAAATCAAATGTGAATATAAATTTAGATTAATTTAAAAATGGATAAAATGAGTTATATGGTCACCTTGAGCCTTCGAAATTAATGTTTACGTCTTGGCAGAAATCGCCTTAAGACACTAATTGCTACCAGTCCTAATATTTATAGCCAGCAAACTAAAAAGTAGAAGAAGCGCAGTAGTTGGCTCATATTAAATCAGGGGAACATGTGCCTAGTTTGAATATAGACACACGGTTAAAATCCATGGATACATTTCTGCCTCATTCAAGGTCTGATGCTATAGAAATTGAAAGACAAAATATAAGATCTTCCAAACTGGAGATTTAAAATACAAATAATCATCTCGATATGAAAAGTGAGGAGAGAAAGTCTAATGTGATAAGAGTTGTTGGGAGTAAATAGCATTTAACATCGAACTCAAAATTAAATATCGATCTAAGACAGGAATAGAGAAGAAAATCAAAAAAAAATATATAATATTTTATGCTTTTCAAGAGAACAAATTTAGTGAACAAGTTTGTAAATAATATAAAGAATAAGGCATCTGGTTATATATTTCGAAGATTCAAAAGCAGACAATTTGAAATTTTAGAAGATCTTTCAACTGATTTTTAATATTATGAAAATAAAGGTCTCATTCTTCCAACAGTACTACATATTTTATTAATATTAATGGCATTAAAAATTTGATATCATAAGATTCACACAATATTTATCTATTTTTTTGTTACTCTAAGATTGAATTTATTATAAGTCAGCAAAACAAAAAAATAAATTAAAGTGGTAGATATTTATAATTTTTTACATTAGATCAAATCAACCACTATTACATACATACAGTTGTTATAATATTGTATCATAATATTTTTTAAAATAATATAAAAAAGATACTCACTATACATCAGTCAATGTTGATTCCGATCAGAAGTAAGATAACTAACTATTAAATAAATATCATTATTTATGATAATCTTAATTATAAAAATAAAAGATGCAATAAACAGTTTCTTAGACTCATCTACTTTCATCATCCAGCCTGTAAGCATGAATTCATTTTTATTTTAAACAGTGCTATAGAAAGAAAGCTTGTGTTTATTAAGCTATTTTTATAAAATTAGGAATCTATAGTAACTGTAATATGGGAAATCTTTGCCATCATAGCATATTTGATGCTGATTATAATATTACCGATCGACAATAATTTTGATTTGAAAGCTTTGGAGAAATATCAATTCATCCACTAAATTCCTTTAATTATAATTCCTATCGAAATTCTTCTCAAATTAAGCACTGTAAGTTCTGTTTTTATAAATTTTTAAAAAATTAATATTTATATACCTTCAAAATGTAATCTGCTCTTCTATACATATTTTTTGGAAAAATTTCAAATATACTAGATTTATCTTTACATTTTACTCATTAAAGAATATAAATCGGATACTAAATAATATTTCCTTAATATTTAAATAGGCAGTATATAAAAGAGGAATGATCATGGAAAACAGAAGACAAATCTTTAAAAAGTTCTTTAAAAATGATGCAAAGTAAATTTTAAATTATTTGAATTTTTTATGAAATAATTAAAAAATTATCATAAATTGTTTCCTTTTCATAAATTAATGAAAGATTTGTCAATAATATCTTTCTATTTTAATACTTATGATGAGTCTTAATTGTGTTAATTAAAGACAAATATTTCATAACATCAGCAACTTAAAATTAATAAATATATCAATTAATTTAAAACAGGTTTGACTTAACTACACTTTTGATTTACACAATATCGCAGTTTGGTAGTCAATTTAACTTTCTTGAATATGTCATTACAATAAAAATTATCCAAGTTATTGCATCATTCAAAAACTTGGTTCATAAATTTGATAGGGAAATGAAATATTCTGTTTTGGCAAAAATAGTAACATTGATCATCGTTATATTAACATTTTCACACACACAAGCGACCATATTTGTTAGGATAGGACTATATGAAAGGGATTAAAAATTAAATTCTTGGATTGATCTGCTACAATCTAATCCAACAGACACTTAAATTTATATCTCTAGCATCTATTGGTCAATAATTACTATGGCTACGATTGGCTATGGAGATTTACATCCAGTCACAGACAGTAAGCTAAAATTTTAAATAGTTTTTCGATAATTAGTAAAGATATTTTAATGAAATAGTTGAGATGATCTATGTTTCTATTATATCGCTCATTTCAAGTGGCATATTTGGATATTCTCTCAACCAAATAGGATAAATTGTTGATTCTTTTGAAAAGAAGTCAGAAGAGTTTAACAGAGACATGCAGGTAGCACTAAAAATTAATCCATATTCTTGCATTTTAAATTTTTTTTGGAATTTAGATACTGAATAAGTAGATGAATCAAAGAAACTTAAACAGTAAGCTGCAGCACAAAGTAAGAAAATATTTTGAATATCTGCATAAAGAAGATTAAATAGATGATGATAAAGGCAATTAAATGATATCGAATTTGCCAACTTCTATGAAATAAAATATATTGTTTGATATTAACCATAAAATCCTGTATGCTCAAAAAGCTTTTTCTTTAAATTTTTCAAAGTAATTTTTGAATCTTCTAGCCTTAGAAATGAAAACTCTTAAATTGGGACCAGAAGTAGATCTTTTTACAAATAGTGAAACCGATGATAGGTGCTACTTTATCTTAAAAGGTTAAGTTGAAGTATACATAAACCTAAGTAACAGACAAAAAACATGCTACATCTTAAAAGTAAATTCATATTTAAAAAACATTAGTGTATTATATTGATATGATATTTATTTTTTTAAAAAAGAAAGGAGATATGTTTGGAGAGATAGAATTTCTTTGTTAACAATAGAGAATAAAATGCGCCAAAACTCTTAATGTTGTTACGCTGCTCTATATTGATTATAAGGATTTCATCAGATGCATCAAGAACTTTGATTAAGATTTTGTAATTGTTATTATTTTACATTTATTTATTAGATGATAGTAAAAATTTCTGGTGTAATCAGCTCTCTTTTTTATTTTGTCTAATTAAACTCATCATTTAAAGCTTATTTTAATTATGAATTTTATTTTTACAGGAGAAATACTCAATGATCAAAGATAAAGCCAGACTTTACAATAACTTAGAAGGTTTGGATAGAAAATGCTTAAGTTGCAAAAAATTTAATCACTAGTTTGTGAGTTGTCCATAGCTTTAGTATTGGCCTAATATGGACAAGCTAATACATGAATGCAACAAATCATACTTTCAAGAAAGATCTAATGAAATTGTAAGAAAAGAAAAGAATAAAATAAATGCTATTAAAGAATAGCGCTAAGTAAGCGGGTATATTAATAGGATATACTTCAGAAATGGTGAAGAAGAAGAGGATTATGATAATGATGAAACAGGTAATAATAATGATAGAAATGATGAAACCCTCTCTTATAGCAAGTAGTAAATAGATAATTGTGCTCCTTAATACAAGTTCACATAAGCATAAACAATAAACTAAACAGAAGATTATTTGACAGAAGAAGCTTAATTGTCAAGTACAAATATTCAAATTCCAAAGTAATTTTAGATTTATCATAGGATATTTAATTATTAAGTTATTTATATCTTTATCAGTACTAATTAGCAACAAAGTTTTGTCATGAATAGAAATAAAAGTGTTAGTATTTTAGAAAATGACATACTTAAACGAGCTAACTCAAGGAAATTTTCAAAAAAACTTTCAATCAAGAAGGATAAGAAAAAAAATACATTGATACTTTTAGGAAATATGCAATACGATGAAGAAGCTCTATCTCCCTCGAAAAGAATTAAAATTAATTTAGATAGCTCATAAATTGATATTCTAGCTGCTGGTCTAAATCAATCATTTAATTTATAACCCACTATTAATTCCTTAACTCATATAAATACAGCTAGCATACAATAGCAAAATAACACTCTTTAAAACATACCGCTACCATCTACTTAGGTAGCAAATTAAAGCCTTTTTTCATAACAAAATTAAAAATAATAACAATAAAATTCGTCGTTTAATTAACCTTAAAACATAAATTCTATTTAGCTAATTCCTTAGTATAAAATTTAAAATAATAATGGGAGTAACTAAGACAATAACACAAATATTTTGATGCCCTAAATCGATTTAGATATCTATAAAACATTCTCAAAAATAGAAGGAAACCATACGAACAGTAGAAACACAAAAACACTCTATGAAGGGAATATTTATGGCCATAGTGAACGACAAATTAATTTTGGACCATAGTCATTTGATTTAATGAAAATTTACAAAATATATTTTCCACATAACAATGTAAACTTAGTTATTAAGAGATACTAAACTTTCATGAAGCAAACTAGTTCTATGTATTAAACATAAAATAATAAAAGGAAAAAACTTCATAGATACTGAAGTACTTAAACAAACAAACAATAATATTTAACTAAATAATACTTTAACAAAAAAATTATTATTTCAATTATAAAAATCATAAATTAGATAAAACAAATAAATTAATTAATTAAGCATTCATATAAATAATTATTTAATAAAATTAATTCATCTAAATTTAGGTATTAACTCTAAATAATAAATAATTATAATTTAATAAATGTATAATTTTTGTTAATTTATATTAAGTTTTCCACTAAATTTTCAATATCATAATTTTCCCTACTTGTCTACTTATTTGATCGATCTCCTTTTTTTAATTAATTGTTGTTGCTTAAATAATGAAATTTTTTATTTTAAATCAAGTTTTAATAAATTAAAAATTATTTAAAATTTAATGTATTTATTACAATTAGTCTCACTTTAGTTTTTTAATAATAATTTAAGCTTTAAGAATTTGAATTAGAAATAAGAGAAAAATTATTAAAATTTAAAACTTATATTTCTTAAAGGGTAGGCAGGTATATATGTATCTATCTATATGATATTTTGATCCTTTTTATTTATAGATAAGATAATAAATACCAAAAAAACTCTTTAGAAAAATAATATTTGTTTGCACATTTAACTCAAATAAATATTTTATTCTTTATTTTTTATAAGAAAAAACATATTAACTGCTTAAAAATTAAAAAAATAGATAGACAGACAAAGTATTTTGTATTGAAATAGTAGTTAATTCAAAATAAAATATATTTCTTATGATTCAATAAATCACATTTTATTTTTGATTTTCAAGTTAAATTGAATAGAATTCAATTTTACTAAATTAAATTGAGTAGAATAAATTTTGATTTACAGATAAATTAATTTAAAAGCCTATAAAGAACAAAAGTAAAGCTAAATTGAATGTAAAATATTTTTTATTTTCAGATTCGATAAACAAAATTCCATGTCTCTATTATAAAAAGATAAATTTAAAATTCTAATGTCAATAGTACTAATGCAAACAAACTTGATTCAAGATTAAGAAATTAAACATTTATTAAAATTCCTATAAATTTTGAAAGGAATTCATTTTTTCTTTTTTAGATTCTGTTTTATATTCTTTTACAAACTCTTTTAATCAAAACTTTCCTTATATTAATATTTCAAATTTTAATATTATATATAAATCATTTGCTTATAGCTATTTTTCTTTTACAAAAATATAAAGGCAATCTATGATAATAAAAAGTGTTATTTGATTTCATCTGGTCATATCATTTAATATAAATTATAAAAATACCTAAATAAATATTTGAAAATTAAATAAAATGAAAGCAAGATTTATATTGATCTCATTGATATCTCTTTTGAGTATTGCTTCTCTCTACTTAATTTCATCTAACCCTGCTAATTAATATCAAAATTTATAGAAAACACCAAAGTGTTTCAGTTTTGATGGCTAATTAATTCCAGATCCTCCCACTTTCGAACACCCTGAAGTTGAAGTTGGCTTTTTTGCTTAAAATAGGTGCAGTTAAAGTATGAGATTTAAGTTTATTTCATCTAAAGTATAAGAAGAAACAGTTTGCCTTAAATAATATGAAGATGATCTTATTCATATGTTTTTTGATAATAACGTAAGTGTTGTTGAAGAAAGATGTTGAGCTATTAACTCAAACATGATATGATTTATATAAAAAAATATAATATTATTATATATAAATAAAGTTTAATGATTTAAATACAATTCTAATGTTTGTTTAAATTAAATTATTATTAAATCATATATTTTTGTTGTAAAATATACTTTAATTTCACACTCAAGCAAATTCATAATAAATAACAATTCTAATTATTTTACCTAAACAAACACCAAGTTTTGGTTGATTCTTTCATCTATTTTCATTTATTTATTTATCATTTATAATAAAAAATTATTTCTGAATAAACTAAATAAAAATCAAATCATATGAGAAAGTACAATCAAAAGTTTTATAGATTATCATAAACATCTGAGTATAAAATTATATTTTTCAGACTTTAAATTTTTTTCATCAGCTTCAATTTATTAGTGATGAGAAAATTGTTTAAAATTATTTGCTGTTTAAAATTAGCTAAAATTAAAAATTTATTTTAGAAAATATTACGCTTTGTGAAATTCAGGAGGAAAAAAAAGTGCATAAAATTTGCATGTATAACAGTATTAATTATGTAAATATCGCAAAAAATTTAATAAAGTCTGATTTTTTATAAATTATTATGATAAAATAAAATTTTTATAAAAAATTTGTAATTAAATTTTAGATTAATTTATGTAAACTATTTTAAATAGATAGAACCTATGTAAAAATTAAATATATAAATTAAATCAGATTTTAACATAAATGCATTTATAAAAAAGTATATTTACTGTTTAAATTTATTAGTAAATGGTTTTTTCTATAACCTTACTATAAAAAATAATAAATAAAATATTATTTAAATTTATATATACAATTGAATTATTTTTGTTTATTTTTTTAACTCACACTAGCATATCTATTTCAGCTTTTACTGATTTTGTCATAGATATATTTGGCATATTAAAATACTTTTGTGTAGAGATTTTAAGAAAAATTAGAATCAATCCATTAAGTGGATCTAGATTGGCATATTTCCCATTAATTAAAATCATTTTTAAATTTGATTCCTAGACATAAAAGTACCATACAGGTCATTATCAAGTTGTTGATTTATTGTGATTGCTAATTTAAAATTTTTTTCTTAATTGCAATAAAATGTTCTTTAGTAAAACCAATAAGATTTAATATGACTTCGCTGTATTTCCAGAATCCCTAATCCTGAAAATTTTTCAACAGAGTTTGCAAGATATTGGAAGAACTAATAAAAAGTAATAAAATATTAATAATTAAATTAAAATAAAATTTAAATTGATTACTTAATTGTATTTTAGAGCACTTAATTAAGCTTCTTATCATTCTTTTCTTTGAGTTTATCTTCTTTTGAGCCTCTTAAAGAGATGATTTCCATCTGAATTTCATTAGTTTTAATAGGATTATCTACTTTTTAGCTTTAATATTTCACTATTTAAGGGATTTTCTTTGCAAGTTAGAATTGCTACTATTTTTAAATTGGCTTTTAGTTAGATGCTTATATTTCTTTTATACTTGAATCGCTAGATAAATTCAACGAAGCATCAAGAGTTGAAAATACTTCGCTAGAAAATTGTGAATGAATGTGATTTCTAGTAGAAACTCTCTTTAAATATTCATAAGTAGATTTTTCATTACTTTCAAGTAACTTTATCAAACCAGCTGCCGCTATATCATTGCTTTCTAGCATATTTTTTGAATTATCTTTTTCTTGATTAGGGTAGGTTATTTTTACTTTGTACTGCTACTTCATTCTCCAATCAAAAAATCTTAAGAAGCCCGAGAAGGTCTCAACATTTTTGTCCAAAACAATAAATTGCTAGAAAATTTAGTTAAAATTTAAGCTAAATTCATTCTTTTACTGCTCTTCAAGCTTATTTATAGGTAGCGAAGAGCACTCTATGCCTTATTTATTGGCTTCAATAAAAAAATCTGAGTGCTTTTTTAAATATTACAAGCTAATTATTGGAAAGTCTTCTAAATTGCTTCTTGTAAAAAATTTATCTTTAGAGAGAGATTACTTTATTTTTTCTTATTCGCTTGACTCTTTTCCCTGATAAAATACAATCATATCTAAAGTGCCAGAGAATCCTTGCTGATTGGAATTTTCTAGTTGTGAGCTATCTTTAGGATTATTGCTTGGTTATTGAGTATTTTAATTTCTATTTTAATAAGGGTGAATGCTTTTTATGCTTTCTTAAAACTTTTTTAAATGGCTAATTGACTCATCGAAATCATTCCACAGGCCTTGAGTAATTAAAAAAAGAATTTTTGGAATACTTAACTTATTTGTTGAATTTTAGAACTCCTATAAGAAAGACTTAAGATCTGATTTCTCTTTTTTCCATTAAATTTGAGGGCAGATTTAATTTTTAATAACAAAATGTTCTTCAATTGTGTTTTATTTTAGTATTTAGCTTATTTATTTCCAGCCATTGCCTTCAAGGTATGAGAAACTTATGTAATGAGTTTGCTTTTACTGCTAATTTTCATCCTCTTATAAAGCATTTTATTTAATCACAGTACTTTCAAGCTTTTACAAAGCTTAATTTATTAAATACTTCATTTAAATAGTGTCAAATTACATCTAAGATGAGCTTGTATCAACTACTATGCAAAATTCAATACTTTCCAAAGCAAAGTCTGTGTTGCTTTGCTTTTCTTGGTTTGGCAGAAGCTTGCTTTCTTTGAGACACTTACGAAAATTCTACTCAACATTGAAAGGTGGTAAATAATCAATCATAATAATTTTTTGATTATTTTTCTCTTTTCCAATAGAAAATTAAGGGATCCCAATTTTCTTGTGTCTATAAAATAAAATTAAATCTTCCATAACGCTCTGGTTTGTCTAAGAAATTGAGGCGCTTTTCTTTGAGCTATGAAATAAAATGCTTGTTAAGGCTTTGCTTTGGACTTTGATATAATCAATCTGAGATGTAGTATTGAGATAAATATTTAAATTGTAGTTCTTAACACCTTCTAAAATTTCTTTAGAAAAAGCTCTAATAATAATATAATACATGCAACTAAATTTGGCAAGCACCTATCCAATCTGAGAAAAGCTTACCACTATTTCCTCTTACTCGCTTTTAATATAGTCAATTGTTGCTGAAACATTAATAACTTTATAGTCTTAATACTTAGCAAATAAAGGATCTTAAAAATTAAGCACATTTTGCTTTGGGTTTTTATTTTCTTCTAACTTAGATTTTAAAATTTTATTCTCAAATTGAATTTATAATTTTTTTCTATTAGGATTATCTTTGTACAAAACATAAAATGAGTCTTCGTAGTCAAATTTTTAAATTACATCTGATCTAAGAACACAATTATGCACACTTTACTTGATTGTTAGCTCTTTCATTTTCATTTTCTCATTTTTTTTGTTGACCAAAGTGATCAAGTGATCTTCCACAAGCATCATTTTTGAAAAATTGATTAAAATATTAGTTTATTATTAAAATTATATTGAATTATAATTTTTTCCAAAATATTTAAACCCAATAAATAAAAAATTTAGGAATTAATAAATTGCTAATATTTTGTTTGCCTTTTAGTTAATTAATTAATTATGTATCTAATCTCGATAATAAAAAACAACTTATATATAAATTTATAAAAACTACATTTAATTTAATTTAATTTATTTATTAATTAATTAAATATAAAAATTTTTCTTACAAAGGAAGTTTGCAATCTATATATAACTTAAGGAGATAAATAGATAATTTTTATGGAGAGTGATTAAAAAAAGACAATTAAGCTAACTAAAATAACAATAATACAAACATTTATAAGTTAAACTGATTATGAATTACTTTGATAATAATAAAAATTACTATAGAATCTTAAAAATAAATTGCTTATCATAAAGAATACAGCTAAAAACTGAAATTAAAAAATAGTCCAAATTATGAATAAACTGTTAAAAAATAAATATAAATTTTGCACTTAAATCACTTTTTCAACTATTAATTTTTTATAAAATTATATTAAAAGGGAAAATTAGATTTTTTTTAATTTTATGTGGTGAATAGCTTCTAATATTTATTAATTTTAAAAATATGTAAATTATATATATCTTGACTAGTAATTCAAGCAATATTTCCTAAAAATTAAGATTCTTTAGCAAAATACAATTATTTAATCAATAAATGAAAATTCATAAATTTGTTTGTTTAGATAAATTGAGTAGATAGATATATAGATATCTTAATAAAAAGTTAATATATTTAAGTAGATTTGTATAATTCTTGTCATTTTATTTTAAAAGCATTCTCATCACTTTTTAATATAAAATAAAATGTTTAATTTACTGCTCATTTCTTTATCCATCAATAATTAAAAATTAGTAAATAGAAATTTTTAAAATAAAAACTACCACTCTTTTTATTAGGTTAAACAAACTTTAAATACTAATTTATTTTATATCTTGACTTGTAAAAAAAAGATAAGTTTTTCATAAATTTTAAATTTGACTATAAATTATTTCAAAATAAAAGCTAAATCAATTTTTTTAGTTTCTCTCTTTATTTTCATAAATATTTATAAAATAAAAATAAAAAAAATAATTATTTGTAAGTTAATAAACTCATCTTTAAATATTATATCCTATCAAGAAATTTTATTACAAAATTATCATATTTTTATTAGAAAATTAATACTTTGAAAATAGTTGTTAAGTTATTTTAAAATTAATTTTATAATTTTGAATAAGTCTAACTTATCTAATCGTTAAATTTATTTAGTTTTAAAATTATTCTTTTAATAATAAAAAATTAAATTTTTTAGACAGACTGTTTTAAAAGATAAATGATTGTTTTGGAAAAAAAATAAATATTTACTTAAAATTCATAGATATAAGTATTTGAATTGATATATGTGTTTACTTTATATTCATTTTACTAAAAATAGATGAAAAATAAGTTGATATTAATTAAAAGTAATCAATAAATTTGAGCCATTGATTAAATTAAAAGAATCTTCTTTATATTCGCTAAATGTTACTAAAATAAAAATTATTTAGGCAAATGTAAAAAAGTCATACTAAAAAAGATCAAATTAATTATTTAAGATGATTCTGTTTGTTATCAAATTAAAAATTTACAAAAAATAAACCGCAGTTTATTGACAAGTTAATATTTCCTTATTACTTAAATTTTGTTTTAAAAATCAGAATTGATCTTTTTCTTTTTTAAATTTTGTTCTATAAAAAAATATTAAAATTGAAGATTTTTATTATTTATGGAAAATTAGAGCTAATTGATAATGTTGAATAAAAATGCTTGAAATTTTATAGAAATAGTCCTAAATAGTGTAATTTGATATTGTTCCAACAATAACCAATTAGCAAAAAAATAGGAAAAATAAATATAAACAGATATTTATTTTTGAAGACTCCTAATCAATTTTTTAAAATTTGAATGGATTTTTTTTGTTTTGCTTTACTTAATTTATGATTAAATAACAAAATTATTAAAAAGTTAGAAGACTTATTATTCAGTGTAAACCTGAATCATATCTAGTTAAAATATCTAATAATTTCATAAAAAATATATCTTTGAGTGTTCCAAAATACTTGCTTGTTAATTCATTCATTTATACATATATATTTAATTTGATAATTTAGGTAATACTTTAAAGAATTTTGATTATTCAAATCTATTAAAAAAGTTAAGTTCTATTAAAAAGTTAGTAAAACAGAAAGAAAGAAATCAAGCAAGCAAACAAATTTTATGAATCATATTCTTTCTAATTAGTTTGAAGATTTAAATAGTTCCAGCTAGCATTAGCAACTAGCACAGTCTTCACTAACACTTCGTGAAGGCGAGAGCCGTCGCAGAGATTTATTATAAAATAACCCTCTGGAAGACTTGAACTTTAAACACACTGATTCAAGCGAAGTTAACAGGTCTTTTGTTTTAGAAAATATCATAATTAGCAAGTATTAAAAGGATAGATTAGAGAATAAAGTGAATATAGATGCAGAGAAAGATTTAGAAAAGCAAGAAATTTGTTGCATCGAACATGAATAGAGCTACTCTACACACAATAAAACGAAACAAAGTTGCATTAATGATAATATCCACTTTTAGCCTGATAAAATTAACAATAATGTGATCTTTCTTGATTAGGTTAGCATGAGAAATAATGAGTCTGATATAAATCATATAGATTTTTCAAAATAGCACATGAGTAAAAGCTTCACAAAAAGAAACTCTTCGAAATTAAATTTAATATCTCACAAAAACTTAAATTAAGCTGAATTGAATGTTTCAGAATAATAGATGAACGAATAAAAAGGTAGTTTTAGGCATAATAATGTAAGTAATATAAATAACACTACTAATTTAGCAGTAACTCCTATCGATGATCCAAATCCTGTTAGGCTAAGTAAAACATTCTTCTGGTTTTAACGCACTCAATTTGTGAAGAAATTTGTTGAACTGATGAAATATAAATCTACTCGTTTTTTATTTAAAAACTTGGGTGAAAATCAATTTGAAATGCTTGGCGACTAAAGTACTAATCTCATGTATTTTATAAAGAAAGGATTGCTATCAAATTAGGTAGCTTTATTTATTTAATTATTATAATAATTTACAGTGTTTTTAAATACTAATCGATTTTGTAAGTAATTTCATATATAAACAAACCACCTACACAATTAAGTAAGCAAATAATAAATTAAGTAACTAAGTAAGTTAATAAGTAAGAAATCAAACAAAAAAGTAAACAAAAAAAGAAACAACAAAATAGTAGAATAAATTTTAAACAAATTGAATTCACTTATTTATTTGTTCTCATCTTTGAATTTTATCTAATTTTTATTTTTTATATAGGAAATGTATAGATAATCTTTGGCCACTAAATTTTTGCATAGTAAATACACTATTTCATTAAATTATAATTGATAATTTTACTAAATGAGCTGAATTAAATCATTTATTTTTAAATTTATGATCTAATATTTGATTAGAATATTTCAAAAATAATTAATAAATAAATAAATATAGATAGATGATACTAATCTACAATTTAAATTATGAATTTTTTATTATCCCTTAGATTATCAAGTGTTATAATATTTTTAAAAATTATAATAAATCTTGAAATTTTAGAAATTTAGAACAATTCTAATATCTATTTTATACTGCATTCTAAATAATAATCTTGCTATTAAGGATGGATTTAATTTTGAAAATGTTTTAACAATTCTTAATCTTAAATGGAGCTTATCACATTTATTCTTAATTCAATATTATTTTGTTAAACATAAATTATTATTAATTTTAGTTAAAAGAATAGAAATTATTTTTTGGAAAAAAATATTAATAATTTTAAGCAATCAATAATTTTGTTTGCTTTGAAACATAAAATAATATTTTTTTTCAATAAATATATTCAAAATTATGCTTAAAAAGCAATGTATAATTTTTATATCATTTATATTTTAATATTTATTAACAGTTTTAAGAAAATTCTACTACTCAGAATCTTTCATCATATAGCCAGTATGTAATTAATTATCATTAAAATTTAAAAAATAAGTAAAGCTTTAACATAAACTAGGAATCTCTTATAGCTCTAGTTATTGAAATAGTTTCTATTATAATCAATTTATTGTTTATATTCTTGATTCCAATCGATGTATCTTTCAACAATAGCATAGATCATTTTTCCTTTAATCTAAAGAATATCCCTTTGTTCATTATTCCGTTAGAAATATTCATTAAGTTAAATACTGTAAAATTAATAAATTAAATTTAGTTTTTAATTTTCTTATTTAACATATTATTTAGGCTGTTTATAAAAGAGGATTGATCATTTAATCAAGAGCAGAGATATATAAAAAATTTATTAGAAGCTAGTCAAAGTAAATAAATAAATAAAAAATATAGTCTTGATAATTGATCAGTTTTTTTATATTAAATATCAAGGATAGAGATAATTATTTTCATAGTTTATGCATTATCATTTGTCAAGGAGGATAAAACTAATTTCTTATAATACGTGATAGCTTTTAAGATATTTTTTGTGATCACAACACTTAAAAGCATATTTAGAAAATAAGATCATGGAATGCAGCATCCAATTATGCTAAAAATTATAACTCTCATTTTGATCATTCTAACTTTCTCTCATACCCAAGCAATGATATTTGCAAAAATAGGATTTTCACAGTCAAATGGATGGATTCAGCAAATATTGGGTAATACTAATGATAATATAACCATATATATAAGTAGCATTTACTGGTCAATAATAACTATGGCAACTGTAGGTTATGGAGACATCCACCCAGTAACAAAAAGTAAATCAATAAATAAATAATTTTTAATAGAGTTGCTTGATACTTAATTTTTTATATCAATTGGTATGGATATTTAAAAAATAGAATATCAAGGTTATATTTATTGAAAAATTCAATTTTATATACTCTAAATAAAAATAATAATAATTATTGATTAATATCGATCGATCGATATATATTTAGTTATAGGAATAAAAGTATACCAATATTTAAAATTATCTTCCATTTAATCTAAATCAATAACTAGAAACATAAATATATATGGTAATCAAATATATATTTTTATAACCACCTTAATTAATTTTCTATTACTTGTTTTATTATTAAGTAATAAATTTTATTGGTTGATGTAGAGTAAAATTTAATCTCTTTTTTCAACTAATATGCTTACTTTTATTTATATTGAATAATTTAATTAACATATATATTTAAAAATATTAGTTGAAATGATTTATGTATCAATTGTAAGCTTGATTTCTTGTGGAGTTTACGGTTATGGACTAAATTCTATTGGCAAAATATTATCTGACATATAAATAAAAGAAGAGAATTTTAATAAAAAAATGAAGGTAAATTATATTTGTATTAAATATATGCATTAATTTGATTATTAGCATAATTTAATTAATATTAATGTTAGATTTTAAACTACTCAATGAATTAAAGGAATCTAGATAAACAATTACAATACACAGTTAGAAAATATTTTGAGTATTTAAACAAAGAAGAATAAGCTGATGACGAGTTTGCAAATCAGATGATTAATACGTTGCCCTTATCCATGAAGGAAAGAATCCTCTTTGATGCGAACCATAAAATTCTTTATTCTTAAAAGCTATTTTATTTAAATTTTAGTAAATAATTCTTAGATAGACTTTCTTTGGAAATGAAAACCATGAAATTAGGACCAGAGATAGACCTATTTGATCTTACCAAAGACAATAATATGAGAGTTTATTTTATATTAAAAGGAAATGTTGAAGTCAGCATTTGTTCTAAAATTGTCAAAAAAAAGCCTACCATTTTAAGAGTAATAAATACAATATATTTTTAAATAATCTAATAAATATTTAGAAAAATAAATCAATCAATTTAGTTTTTAAATAAAAAACAATAAATATTAATAAAATATAAACTTGATTTTCAGTTTCAATTACAAAAACAGTGTCTTTTAATGAAAAACTAGGGAAAGGATAATAAAAATATAAAAATAAAACTTCAAAAATAACTACATTAAATTATTTTTTATAGTTCAGATATGCAATTAATAAACTATACTAAAATTGAAAAAAAAAAAGATTTAAAATAATTTAATCAGTTACTTAAAAGCAATTATAATATCTAATACTAATTTAAATAAATATTGTATCAAATAATTTAAGAAAATTAAATATTTTATAAGATCTCATTTTAATTTCTTTCTTTAAACCTTCTCATTTCTTTTAAAAATTTTATAAATCATCTAAATAAATAAATAAATAAATCCTCATTAATTATAAAAATGTAAATTTTCATAAATTAATTTAATTTATTATTTGTAAAAAGAAAGGAGATATGATAGGCATTATAGAATTCCTTACACAGCATAGGAAAAACAAAGGAATGGCTAAAACATCTAATGTTGTTACCTTGCTTTACATTGAATTTAGTGATTTTTATGACTGTATTAAATAATTTCCTAACGATTTTGTAAATATAAATTAATTAATTATTTTGGTTGAAAAAATATTTGTTTAATTTAAAAAAGGAATAGTTTTGCATGATTAGAGACAAAATCAGTATTTATAATAATTACAATGGGTTGGATTAAAAATGTCAGGTGTGCAACAAATACTCTCACATCATAAAAGATTGCCCTTTCCTGAACTTTCAACCAAATTATGAAAAATTAATACATCAAGCAAATAGCTCAGTTAACTAAGAAAGAACTGAAAACATTTAAAGAAAAAAATTTAAATGCAATGTTTTCAATCAAATTTAGAGTATTTAGGCTCACTCAAAAAAGATACAAAGCTTCAATATTATCTAAGAATATTATGAAGAGATGGGAATTGCAGATGAAGGAAAGGAATAGTAAGTTGACAAAGAAAAAAAATCTACTCTACTGTTAAATAATGTTTTCGGAACTTTTGTGAGCTAAAAACATTCAACATTTAAGCATGTGGATTGGGATTAGCTAGAAAATTCTCCTACCTAAACTAAATTAACTTAAGTGTAACTTGCTAAATAATATTTTTTGTATAACTAAATTAATATTTTATATTAATATGTCAAAAGATAACTCTCAAGAGGAGGATCAAAGAAGGTTTCTATTTCAAATAAAGAGTCAGAGTCTTACAAAAGAGAGAATTCAAGAACTAAATCAAGAAAATACGCTCAATTTAATCCTTAGGTTTAATCATAATAACAACAATAACAATATCTATTGAATGCAATAATTACACCTAATTCTGGATTTTACCCTAATAACTAACAAATATTTTTTCCTAATCCCATAGTTTCAAATATATAAAATACAATTATTCAATAACCTTTAGCGAACAGCCTCAATATTTTTAATTAGCATTAAGGAAAATCTTCATCATCGAATTTGAACAATAATTTAGAAATTGAACAAGAAACTAAAAACTTGCAATAAAAATCTTTATTGGATATTCAGTTCATAGAAACTGCAAATATATTTCCTTCTACTTCATCTACTCTTCCTTAAGGCTAGCAATAAATAGTAATCAACAACCAAAATCCTAATAACAGCTTTGGCAGTAATACTTATAACAACAACAATAATTAATCTCCCTTTTACCATAGATCTGTGAGTAAAGAATATCCAATTTAAAGTTTTTCTAATGCGGTTTCCAATTAACAATAACAAAGCACAATGGCTAATTCATATCAGTAAATGTAAAGGTCTTAATTTAATTTAAATAATAATTTTTTCAATAATAACAATTAACCTGTTGGTATGATGATGTCTAACAACATATCTTCAGAGCTTGAATCAAGCAAAATTTATCAAAATAATGAACCATTAGTAGTTCCAACTTTTACGAAAAACACTTATTCTAACCACGAAACTATGGTAGGCTACTAATTCTAGCAATTAACAGACTATATAAACTTTGAAGAATTAGACACTTACAAAAATTATAAAGTTTACTTTCCTCATAATAATATTTCAAAAATATTAAAAAAACTAAATCTGAATATAAAATCCAAGCAAACTTTTAAGACATCTAGAATAAGAAGAATAAAAAAAAAGAAATGAATTAGTAAAAAAAACAATCAATCAAATAAATAAATAAACAAACAAAAGATTTTTAAAAATTATTAATAATAATTATTTTTATATTGTTAAAAACTTTTAAAATATTAACCAAAGCAAACAATCATTCATTTTTCAATTCTTTTAAAATTAAATTATTTATTTATTCATAAATTATTTTATGAAAATAATGATAATCAAAATTGTTTTTATTTATTTGTGATCAAGTTCATTAAATTTAGTATTTTAAGCAATTACTAAAAATGTGAATATAATTTCAATAAGTTACTTATTATTTTTAAAATTACTATTATAAAAGGATAAATACTACTCATTGTTTTGTTTTCATAATCAATTTAGAATTCTTTCTAAAGTAAAAACAATTAGTGCTTGAAAAAATAAAAATTATATGCATTTAATAAATAAATACTAAAATGGATATTTTTAATAAAATTATTAGTATTCACTAATATTATAATATATTTAATGGAATAATTTATCTTCATTAATTAATTTTGGATTTTTTCTAGACTTAAAATATCAAGCTCGTAATTAATTAATTACCATAGTTTCTCAATAATTAAGGACAAACTAAAATCAAAATTTTTGTAAAAATTTAGTCCTTTTTGAAATACCACTCAAAAAAGTCCTTAGTTAAACTGGTCCTTAATTAATGAGAATATATGGTAATTAGTTAAATCATTAATTGATTGATTTTGAGTAATTAAAGCTTTAGCTAATATTACTATTCATTTCAAGTAGGAGTTTTATTAAATTTTAAAAATCAATGATAGACAAAACATTCTAATTAAATTTGATATAAAATGTAATCAATTGTTTATTAGTTTGTTCAAAATCCTTAATATACGCAAGAAATAATCTAAATTAACTGACAAAAAATTGAAAATTTTTTAAGATAATACTGTATAAATAATTTTTATACTTGTATTTAATTAATCTTTTCAAAATTATGTATGAGTGTAAAGATATAAGATTCTTAAAAATAATGCTAGCTAACTTTGAAAGTTTTTATTTATTAACATTTCTAATTAGTTCTATTTTAATTAAAAATTATTTAATTCAGTAATTATAGTTAAGCCAATATATTAATAGGTCATGTTTAATATGGTTATATAGTTAAATGTTTTTCAAAACTTAATAAATTCATTTTTTATATTTATGTTTAATTACTTCTTAAATTAAATTAATTCTAATCTTTTAAAAAATGTTAATCTTATTTTTTAAAAATAAATCTTTTGTTGTAAATTATATTTTATAGATTATTAATCAGTATTATATTAATTATAATTCATAGTATTTTTCAATTTTCTATAAAAATTATTTAGGTATTAAAATTCTAAAAAAATTTTTGATAGGTAGGATAGATATATTTATATATATTCAACGTTTGTTAATGGTGAATTGGAGTTTTGATAAAAAATTATTAGAAAACTAATAATTAATTAATAAATTATTTTTATTAAAATCTTTATTAATTAGCAATTGAATTTTCTTATATTTATTAAATATTCTCATTTTAAGTTATTTATTTATTTATTTATTTATTTATTGAAGGGGTTGGGGTTGGGGTTGGGGTTGGGGTTGGGGTTGGGGTTGGGGTTGGGGGGGGGGTTGGGGTTGGGGTTGGGGTTGGGGTTGGGGTTGGGGTTGGGGTTGGGGTTGGGGGTTGGGGTTGGGGTTGGGGTTGGGGTTGGGGTTGGGGTTGGGGTTGGGGTTGGGGTTGGGGTTGGGGTTGGGGTTGGGGTTGGGGTTGGGGTTGGGGTTGGGGTTGGGGTTG